ATCCTCTTTCAGTTATGCAGACAAAAGCTCCATTTACGTACGTAGGAATTACCAACATCAAGATTCCATAGAGAACCCATTCAAGCAAAAAAAAATAAATAAATAATTACTTTTGGCCATTAAAACATCACAAAAAGAGAATTCCAGTGAAATGGCACACAAATTAGCAAACAATCTAATGTACACGCAGCATACCAGGCTGTCTCATAGCTCAACCATGTCATTCAGTCTGGAGTACGTAAACAGAATCAATCACATACCTCCCAAACCCAGAAGACGAAAACAATTATAAAAGAAAAGCAAAACCAACAGCGCATATAAAAGCAAGAGTTGAAGGAGCTTAGTAACATGGATAATCACCGTTCTAGCTAGATGATCCGAGCAACTAAGTAACAGCCATTTAACAACTCCAACCAAATATTCTTTCACAAAAAATAGGACATTTGACAAGAAACAGCCAATATTACAGAAATAAAATTGTGTTCCAGAATATTTCCATTTGGAATGCCACATTAACTGTTCGATATTCTGAAACTTTATCACAATCACATGCTTTAGAGGGGGAAATTTTGTTTGCTTATCTCCAAGTAGCAAGATATAGCAAATCAACCAACTAGCAACAATAATTTATAATCCTTACAAACCCTTAAAACTGGAACATTGGGTACAACATATATATATATATATATATATATATATATATATATATATATATATATATATATATATAATCCTACAGAGGCATAAAGAAAAATAGGTAAGATTAGTAAAAAATAAGTTCAAAGGTTAGGTTTAGAGTACAACCTTTGTGTTTATCTTGTCAAAACGCGAGAAGATTATATTTTCACTCTACTACATATTTTTCTCAATGACAGCTCTATATTCAAGATCTATTATTCATGCATTATCCCCAAAGTTCATGATTAATTTGGAAAGACATCAATAATAATTTGTTTAGTGTGCTCCATACAAAAAGTTGGGGACAGTAGCATGAAATGTTGCAACTATAATTATACAAGTGTTAAAAGTCTTCATCGGGCAATTACCTAATAAAATCAAAATCTTATAAGGTAATCTCAACAAACTCACTTCCTTTAAAATGAAACAAACAACAAAAGAAACATAACACATATAAGCAAATTAAGCACACCAGCACATGAAAAAGATGATTTTCACATAATGAGACCGGACTCCAGAAATAAATACTGTAGGCATTATATGAAAAAATGATGTTATTTGTGTTCTTAGTCACATAATTGCAAGCTTACCATTTGGGGTAAAGATATATATATATATATATATATATTGAATCCCCTAAAGTTATTGGATGGATGGAAAAAGAGTAGAAAGAAAAATAGAATTGACTACATAAAGTAAACTCAGATACATTAAAGTTCTTTGCTTTTGAAACATATACATTAAAGTGTTCTTAAAACCCGACAATTATTTCTATGGGGTAAAAAAATCATAACTTACATATGTTTTGCGAGCATCATCATGAATCCATCCACCATCTTCCTTGTAATGTGTTTTCTTGTACATTTTGATGGCAGGTCCTTCGAAATGATGTTCATTGTCTTCATCGCTATGTTCATCATCTTCATCAGCTTCTTTCTGTAATTTTTTTATTTTTTTAATACATTACAAGGTATGGTTGTAGAATGAGAACAAAATACACAAATAAAAATAAAGTATTGTGTTATATATTACCAACTCATAATGAATTTTGGCAAAAGACTTTGACCCAGCAGAATGTAACATTTCTACATTTCCCCTGTTTTCTTTGTTTCTAGCACTAATTTCCTACAATGTAATTTAAAAAATAAAAAAATGAGGAAAAGAAAGAAACATTTAAAAAAAAAACAAGTAACTAGGTAGTCTATATTAACCTGAAATTTGTCTGTCATCCACCTATCGCACATGATTTGCCAGTCCTCGTAAAGTACACGAGGATGTGGGTTGCGGTGTGCACTCTCTTCTGTCTCGTACTTGTTAAAATGATCTTTCAAACGATTCCTGAACTTTCTATGAGCAGTGGCCAATGAGAGATCTGCACCCTCCTTTGCTTTTTCATCAATATTGCAGTCAATTCCGAATTCCCCCTTTATTTTTCACATGAATAAGCCAAAAACAAATGTCATTTAGAAGAAGTATAATTAGCAGCAATCCTACTGACTGACTTTGAAATTATACGTGAAATTGAGCTACTTTTGTACACTTATCATATTAATGAAACATCCAGCTTTGTAACCCGCTAAAAGGTGACATAGGTGCCTACATCTGAAGAATGTTCTGGGGCCATGGCCATCAAAGCAACTACATATCTGTATTTACTACTACAACTAAAATAACATCATATTCCTATTTAATGTAACATAACGGACCAAATAGATGCATAAAAGTAAATTTCAGACTCTTTTGTTAGAGTTTTAGATTTTCATAACATATAGTAGTGTCATTAGATATGCATGTGTACACGCGCGCGCACGTCTATCCATCCATTTATCTATAAGCTATCTATCTCAATGTTGTAAGTTGGAGTGGGATAGCCAATTGGAAATGTACAGCTTGCCATGGATTATACTGAATGAGCAATAGAGGATATGACTTGAATGGATCCACCACATGTTGAGAATTTTACTTTTTTAATGTAATCCTGGAAGAAGACAGACATTGATATTTATAACCTTCTGTAGCTGTTTGACATCCTAAAATTTCTAGAGATTGTTTTCCTACATCTTAATCACTCTTTCTTGAAGTAGACGTGGGTTTCTTTGAAATCAATATGCTTACCTTAAAATGTCCATATGACAGGCAACGAGATGTTGAAGTCCTTTGGATTAAGTGGTCTCGGATTCAGCAGGAAGTTTTCAGTTGTCAATGAGTGAGTCATGGTAAATTTGAACTATCTTTTTCCATATTTTGGCACTTTGCATTACTAAGTGATTCAGGTAAGATCTTGTGATTGATGGAAGGTGAGAATTTTCTCCTCATTTTAAGATTTAAGACAGCAAACTTCATACTGTCCCCCCAACCAACCCCTTTCGGTTGGAACAAAGTTTTAGGTAGCGAAGTTGTTCGCAATCAAGATCAGAGGATGAGGGACAAAATGGTTACCTCGTGTAGTGCTGAAGCTTGTGGTCTTCAGGATATTTTATATTTTTTGTTCTGGAAAGTTAAATGACTGATCTATCTTATCAGGTCTTGTGTGGCTTTGTATAATTGGGATTGTTATTCTCAAGATTCAGCAAGTGTTCCAGTAATTTGATTTGGATTTTTCAAAATTTTGGGCATTATTTCTTCAGTAATTAAGAAAATGTGCGTGGTTCCTTTGTGTTTGTGTGCGAACTTATACTGATGTCTTGGTGTACTATTAACGAATATAATAGATTTGATACTAGAGATGTAGTTGCATATCCATTACATCCTATTAAGCATGTATACTTTTGAAAGGGAGTCATATTAATATATTATATGTCTCGTACGCGGATGCTCCTGGGTAGGCTTATTTGTGTTCAATACTTCTTAAAGAAATCCATTACTTGAAATAAATGTTTTAATTTCACCCCACATACCGATTACTTCTCAGATACTCTTGGACATGTGTACAACATATATTCAACATTTTAAACCAGCATTTTTGTAGTATAATATCATGATATAATTGTTAGGAAAATAAAACAACTAGAACAGATCCATTTGAGATGGTTGGGCCTGTACTTAAGACGATTATAACAGGTGGCTGCCTACCATGGTGTTGGGGGTCCAAATCCCTCCTCGCCAACAACCGGACCAAAAGGGAAGGACCTTTCCCTCTGAGGGTAGGGAAATCATGATGATAGCGGACCAAAAGCTATGGAACTTCAAACAACTGATTATTTTTTAGAATGGAAGGTTGATATTATACTAAGGAAAATCATGATGAATTTTGTTTACTTGATCATGTTGATGCAACATAACCATTTTTTTCTCTTATGAATTGTAATATTATTAGTTAGAAGTATATAATAATTTAATTGTTTAGCAAAAAAAATGGTTATGTTGCATCAGTATAAAACTGAATCTGAAATGAATACTGGAACTGAAATAACATAAAACTACAAAAGTAGCTCAATTTCACAATACAACTCCAATATGATAAGTGTACAAAAGTAGGAATGAACAGCACTTAATCCTGCTGACTGACTTTGAAAGACAGTCATTAAAAATACTATAAACTAAAAATTTACAAAAAAAATTATACGTTATAGTAGCAAAAAGGAATTAAGATATGGGTTAAGCAAGACATACCATTATTTTAGTGTAACAAAACCTTTTATGATAGTCTGGGACATCTGGCCAAGTCTCATAGCATAGTGGTATATGTTCTCGAGCAATCATCCCAAGCTCTCTCTCCCAAACATCTGAATTTTCCTCCACCGGTTTCAAATAACCGTCTGTAAACTTAATCGGAACAATCCCCCCATTGCGCTTTTTAATGTCAATTTTTTTTTTGTTTACAGCTTTGCCACGCCTCTTGACATTTCTTGATGAACCTGAAAAATGAATTCATGAGAGTAACACGTAGGAGTATTTTGGGACCAAGTTCAAATGTAAAGACAAGTTTAGCAAATGTAAAGATCATAAAAAAATCACCTTCCACTGCTGGTTGTGGCTGTGGCTGGGAAGATGCATTAATGTTTTGGGCAAGGTCATTGTTGGATCTCAAGGACCGACGATTGGACGCCATAGTAGATTATAGCAATAAGAGAATCAAATCTTTTATAACATGTTTTGAAACAAATAAATTAGAAAATAAAAATTAAGTGGCAAAGGAAAGTATCAAAATAGCCAAACAATAGATAATTAAAAGAACGAAAAAGAGATTAATAATAACTCAAAAAAATAAAACACATATTCTAAAAGTCAAAGCTAAGTACTGAAGACAAATTTAACCAATTTCAACATTTCAATTTGCATGTGTTCAATTTTTAAACAGAAAAAAAAAATATATTTAACATTTAATCCAAATCACTATCATCTTCTTCTTCATCATCTGAATTGTCTTCAATCAAGATTTCATCATCATTGTCAAAACAGTCAATTTCATGATGAGATTCTTCATTACTTTGTAGAATTATTTCAGCATCAAGACTTTCAACCTCCAAGCCATCCCTATTCAAAGTTGGTGGATCTATGTCAAAGTTGGTCGCCTCAACAACCTTATCCACAATGCATGGTTCATCCTCTTGATATGCTGTAGCATACATTCCATCCTCAACTCTACTGTTATCCTCCACTTCGGGAACGTCATATGAGCTTCTATGTGTTATATCTTGAATGACCTCCCACGTGCCTCGTAATTTGGTGTCTTTGACAAAAAAGGCTTGTTTTGCTTGATTTGCCAACACAAAAGGCTCATCTTTGTACCATTTACGGGCTACATTTACACTCTTGAAATAAGTATCCCTCTTAATACCTGTCCTTGTGTTGAACCAATCACATTTGAATAGGATTACCCGTCTCTTAAGAGGATATTGTAACTCAATGACATCTGTCAAGACACCATAGTAATCAACATCCTCTGTTTTGACTAACACACCACTATTCTGAGTTTTTCGATTTTTCTCCCTTTCCTTTGTATGAAACCTGACCCCATTTACAATGCAACCAGAATATCGATTTATCCGAAAATCAGGTCCACAAGCTAATGAATACAGGTCATCACTAATTTCTAACTCTTGATAATGACGCTCTTCCTTTATCTATTAAAAAAAATTAGAACATTAAATAAATGCATACAGATACCACATTTAAAACAAATAATAGGGATATGAAGTACATTAAGGACTTACTCGTGTTCCCAACCATCTCGAAAATTCTTTTACGTGTCTTAATGGTACATTATCCTTGTTTTCATTCTCGAGTTCAGCCTTGTGTGCACTAAACAATTAAGTGATATTATGATACATTTCAAAATTTATAAATAAAGTATTAAAAACATAGAGAATATATAACTTACACTGCATATGAAGCAATTTCTGCGCAGTTATTTAACACGTAAAATTTAGCCTTTTGCATGCTTTCAATATCCAGTATCTCTAAACTTCCAGCCCCTAAAGGATGAACCACTTGCCTGAGCTCTGAAAAAGTGGACCAATTGGTGCAATAGTCGCCCTCGTAATTTCTTTCTTCTCGATTGAATCGTGTCTCAATCCCTTGAAGAAACCTTGAGCAAAATGTGACGCATTCATTGTCCACATAAGCTTCAGCGATGGACCCTTCAGGACGTGCTTTATTACGCACGTAAGACTTGAGAGTACGTAAAAATCTACATAAAAATTAAAATATTACGAAATCATGATGTCTAGTTTAATGTTTCCAAAATATTTTTTTGTATTACAAATGTATAGTACCTTTCAATAGGGTACATCCATCGATATTGTGCAGGTCCTGCAATGATGGCCTCGCGTGGCAAATGCAGAGCTAAGTGCACCATTATGTCAAAAAATGATGGAGGAAATATCATTTCTAACTTGCATAATATGATAGCAATATCCCTTTCCAATACCTCTAAGACATCTAGTTTAAGGGTCCGACAACACAACTCCTTAAAAAATAAACCAAGCTCTGTTATCGCATTACAAACATCATCGGGCAACAATCCTCGTATAGCTAGAGGGAGGAGACGCTGTAAGAGTACATGCGAATCATGACTTTTCAATCCAGATATCTTACCTTCATTGACATTCACACATCGACTTATGTTTGATGCATAGCCATCTGGGAACTTCACTAACTTCAACCAATCACACAATTGCCTTTTTTCATCCTTTGACAATGTGTAATGCGCAAGTGGCATCTCAAATTTCTCACCATTACGCCTAAGATGAAGTTCTTTTCTAATTCCCATTGCTTCTAAATCCAACCGACTTTTGAATGAGTCCTTCGTCTTTCCTTCGATGTTCATTAATGTCCCTAACACATTATCACATATGTTTTTCTCTATGTGCATAACATCTAAGTTGTGTCGCAACAAAAGTGTTCTCCAATAAGGCAATTCAAAGAATATACTTTTCTTTGTCCAATTAAGTTCCTTCTTCTCACGAGTCCGCTTCTTATTGTTTGGTCCCTTTCCGAATCTAACCTCGGGTAGGAGATTAAATTGTTCCAGAATATCATCACCCGTCAACTGCTTTGGTGGCTCTCTGTCTTCTTTCTTGCCATTAAATTGTTTGAAACGCTTCCTGTAAGCATGATTGGACGACAAAAATATACGAGCTCCCAAATAACATATCTTCTGCCCGTGACTCAAATAACAAGAACATGTGTCTTTATTACAATTTGGACACGCCAAAAAACCCTTTGTCATCCATCCGGATGCCATTGCATAAGCGGGAAAGTCATGTATAGTCCAAATCAACCCTGCATGCAGCTTAAAGTTTGATTTATTGTAGGCATCATATGTCATCACACCATCTATCCATAATTCTTTTAACTCGTCAATTAACGGTCGCAGATACACATCAATGTCATTACCAGGTGATTTAGGACCAGGAATAAGTAATGACATAAACATATATGGTTCCTTCATACACATCCAAGGTGGCAAATTGTAGGGCACAATAATTACAGGCCACACACTATAAGCATTACTCATGTTACCAAATGGATTGAATCCATCACATGCTAACCCAAGACGAACATTACGAGGATCCGCAGCAAACCAACTATTCTTATTGTCAAATTCCTCCCAAGCTTTTGAATCGGCTGGATGTCTCAACAAATTTGTCTCTTTGACATGTTTCTCCTTGTGCCAACGCATGTCTATAGCTGTATCCCTATGCATAAACAACCATTGAAGCCTTTGTTTTAAAGGAAAGTACCGAAGAACTTTTTGAGGAATCTTTTTTCCTTTACCTTCTCAAGACTTATACCTCGACTCACCACATTGTGGACAACATTCTTTACCTTCATTCTCCTTCCAGAATAAAGTACAATCATTTTTACATGCATGGATCGGTTCATATCCAAGACCTAAATCACGCAACAAGGTTTTAGTCTCATAATAGGACTTTGGCAACGTGTTGTCATCGGGAAGCAATTCCTTTAGCACCTTAAGCAACATGTCAAAACATTTGTTGGTCATTCGGCTTGTAACTTTCACATGGAACAACTTCAAAATTGCTGACAACTTAGATTGTTTTTTACAACCTGGCCACAATTCGCATTGTGCGTCATTTAGCAATCTATCAAAACTTCCTCCTATATCAACTTCAGGCGAATCTTCTTGTTGTTCTACATTGGTGAACATACCCATCCGTACATTATCCAACAAATCAAATACATTGTCTTCATTTCTACCTTCATCATTAGCATTATCCCCATGTTCGGCATTAACATTAGCTTCTGCATTAACATTAGCAGTGGTGTTAACATTAGCCTCCCCATGCCATATCCAATTTGTATACTCCTTGTACATCCCACACTTATATAGATGAGTCTCAACCTCCTCAATTGCAATATAGTCACCATTTTTACAGCGACGACACGGACATTTGATCCTACCTAGCCCATCTGTATGTCTTTTAGCAAACTTAATGAAGTCTCTTATGCCTTTATGATACTCTTTACTACCCCTGGTGTGATGATGAATCCAAGCCTTATCCATGTAACTGGTAAAATAAATAAATTCAAGTATAGATATAATATAATTAATGCAAGTTGAATATAAACACAAATTAAATACATAAATAAAATAAAAAAGAAAGGAGAGAGAGAGAGACCTCATTGAGAACACTGAAACAATAAAGAGAGAGTAAAACAAGTCTCTAAGAATATACATGCATACATTGCATAATTATGAATGTCAAAGGGAATTTGGGGGGAAAACAATAATCCTTACAGAAGCTTTATCACATGTGCTGAATCCTACACCAATGGCAATAACTGGAAGGCCTGTCAGAAAATATAGTCACTACATGTTAGTAAGAATACATGAGAAAACATCACAGTTCAATCGGTTTCATTTTTATAAACAACTTTAATTACCAAGATATACAGACAAGAAACATAAATGCTGGAAATGAGATTAATCTAGATCAAGAATAAGCACCTCTCTGATGTACAAATCAATAAGAACAATGGGGGGAATTTGGTTTCTAGAAACATAAAAGTAAAAATTACTTTGACAGAAAATCAGGACTTCTCTTGTTTTGAATATTGACCAAGACCACAGTAGATTATATAACCACCTACATATTCTCTCAGTACATTTTATTTTATATATTTTTTAGTATTAATACAAGACTTGATGATTTTAGGTGGGAAAGGGCTTGTCCAAGGATGAGAAGGCTCAAAAACTAGCAGTCAGACATTAAATTAAAGCTGTAAGCAGAATACCCATTCTATATTTTTGTTATTTCTGTTCCAACACATTAAGAGTCAAAACACTTCATTTTTCCATGAATTATTAGGGTCTAACAAAAATTTATTTGACACATTGTTCATGATTTGAAAACTTACGCTAACCTTTTAAGAAATTAGGTAGTTTAAGCCAAGTTCCTAAGGCTACACTTGCCCGGTATCGTTCCTAACTGGTAACGGTTAATTATGAGAAATCTGAGTCTTTATTTTAGCCCATGATCAGATATTCAATAGAAAGATCAGATTCACAGGAAGAAATAATAATAGTGATAATAATAATAATAATAATAATAATAATTGTGGGTTGAAAGCTTTATATTCTTGGGAAATCTTAAACTAATTCTTCAAAAATTAAAAATTATCATCCAAAATGAAGACTCTCTAGGAACCACTAAATCAGAACCACCTTTAAAAATTACCAATCAACAGCTTGCCTCTAAACCAACCAGTCCAGCCATATCAAGCTCGCCTAATGATGATTCTAGCAAACAACCAGACAACTGGAGTAGATCATATAACTATGTTTATATAAATTTCTTACTCTATATCATAATTAATCAGAGCACCAATGTTGACACAAGTACTGCATACAAACATATATAATACAAATATAGGCATAAAAGTTTGTGTGCCCCAAATCCCAATAAGATCTAAATCCACCAGTGTAGAATTCTCAAAAACACACATATGATTCATGATTTGAAAATTAGGGAAAATTTATCAAAAGTGTGGACGCCATTAAAGAAATTACGCACACAATAACCATACGATTGATTGTAAAAACTTACGGATAATTGTCGATTTCAATCACCGATCGAGAGATAGAGAGAGTGAGCTCTGATTGACACGAGAGAGATTAGAAGCAGCAAAAAAGCAGACCTTCCAAATTCAATCGATCCTCCGATCACTATGCTTCTTAGCTCCGATTGACACGAGAGAGGTTTTTCGTATGTGTATCGCTTCACGCCGAGAAGAGTGTGGCAAGCCGAACCCGCATGAAGTAGCTGCAACTGGTGCGGCGTCGTCGGTTGTACAGAGAAAGTATATGAGGGAGAGAGATGAGAAGCCGAACTGGCCAACGTGAGATAATTGCAACTGGCCGGTGCGGCGTCTGCTGTACAGAGAGTAGATAGATGATAAATGTTTAGGTTAAGTTATATAGTGATAGAAATGAGAATGACAGAGACAAAGAGTGGGTTTACAACTTTACAAATACCCAAAACGGTGTAGTATGGAAATTTTTTAATATTTTGCACATGGGAAAATTGGAATTAGGGAGGGAGGAAATCAAGCGCCAAAATTTCCCAGCAGCCAAAATTTCCCACCAAAATAATTCCCGGTTATTTTTTAGCTCATTTGGGACAGTAAGTATGTTGGCGTCCCAAAAAAGCAGGATCATTTGAGACAATTATTAAGCTGTCCCAAATGATCTGTCCCAAGAGCCTCATTTTCCCACCAAAAATATTCCCGGTCATTTTTTTTTCTCATTTGGGACGGTAGATATTTCATTTGGGACGGTAGATATTTCATTTGGGACGGTAGATATATTATTATCCCAAAAACTAGGCTCATTTGAGACAATTTTTGAACCGTCCCAAATAATCCGTCCCAAAAGCCTCCTTTTCTTGTAGTGTATTTTGATAAGCCTAAATGGGTATGGAAAATGTGAGAAATGTTTGTCCCACATGGAAAAAAATGTTGAAACCAATTAAAATTTAAATAAGCCAGATTTGGGCTTGGGCCTAATTGTAAAGTCCGATTATTCTTTTTACTAAATGAATTTTTGGATTGGGCTTTTATTTTTGGGCTCGGCTTATTTAAATGGGTGGTTGGTTTTTGAATTTAAATTAAAAGTTAGTTTTTTCCAAAGGGTTGCATCTGTTTTCCAAAAGAGTTGCATCTATTTTCCAAATAGTTGCATCTGTTTCTAAGGGTTGCAACCTATTGGAATGGATGTGTCTAGTGGTGAACAGATACCATGTGAACCATTGTAACCTATTGGAGTGGATGTGTTTATTGGTGAACAAACACCATGTGAACCATTGCAACCAATATAAATAGTTGTGTCCAGTGTGAAGAGACACATGCAAATGGTTGTATCCAATGATAAAGAGACACATATAAATGGTTGTGTCCAATGATGAAGAGACACACCCAATTCAAAAAGGTACCTTACTTAAAAACTACTTTTTAGTTTTTTTTTTCCAAAAGGTTGCACCCAATCCGAAAAGACACCTTGTTGCCTATAAATACCCCTCTTTGGATCATTTGCAATTCGTTCATTTTCATTTTTCTTCTATCTCCCTCTCTAAACTTGAACCCAACCCAAGTGGGTTCAAACCATAGGTTAAGTGGTCCGAGCAACTTAGACCCTAATCTAATTTCATCGAGACATATTAAGATTGGTCCGAACCATTTGGTTCGGATTACACCCAATTCAGTATTTATATAGAATAGATGCATTTTTGAGTCAGAGAGAGTATTACACGGAGGAGGTTCGCCGTATCCACGAGTTTGTAGTGCTGCTACTGGTGGATGTAGACCATTGTATTCTGGGAGATAGACGCCACTAAGTCCGTAAGCACCATAGCGGGGCGAATCTGTCTTACGGATATAGTATCCAATACTAGCCTCGGTCCAGGTTCTTTATTTGTTATTATTATTTTATTGTTTTATTTTGCATATTTAATTAAATATAGAGTTGCATATTTAATTAATAATTTCTTAGCATATTGTTAATTATTTCATGACATATTAGTAAAAGGTTTGTTATATCTTAAATATCGCATGAAGCATATATTTACCAACAAATTTATTTATTTCTATTATTTCTATACACCTACGTATAGCTAATTTGATTAGCTATCTTCAAGTACGTCCATGATTGGCCTTCTAGTTATTTATTTATTTTATTATTATTTTTTTTTTATGCAAATCATTTTCTCTATACTTTTACTGTATATGTGAACAAACTAGAAAGCATCACCTTCATAAATTATAAGCTTATAAGCAATGATCAAGAGTCCAAACAGTGGTTTGGAAAAACAAATTTTTTTAAAAAAATAAGAAAGAGTCCCAAGCAAGAGCTCAAATGAACAACACCAATAGTGATTTGAATGAGATTCACATGTATGGTTACCCGTCATTTACTTGCTGCAACCATTGTTTTTTCTTAAAATTTTATGTTGTTGCCCTTTAGTTCAGCAAATGGTCTGTCTAGATTTGAAAGGAGAAATTTTGTTGGAATTAAACCTTTTTTGTTTGACTCTCTTGTTCATGACAAGAAAAGGTTATTTATATATATATATATATATACACATAGCTTTGATCGGTTCTAGAGGTATTATATATGTGAAATCAATGCCCAAGTATTGCCAGGGGATCTTGCTTCCCAAGCATTGTTGTAATTTTTGTTAGGGTGTATAAATAAAAAGTTAAGAAGTGATCAAAAGAGGTATTGCCTGAAATTTTATTGGTTCAATTCTTCAACGCCTACTTTAATATTGCTACTTTTAAACCCACTTTTTTGTTATACCATGTGTTCATCTCCTTCATTCTCTCTCTCTCTCATGGGTTCATTACTGGAGCTCACAAAGTAACTCTACATATTGGTTCCATTATTGATGCTGATTCTCGAATCAGCAAAGAAAAAAAAATAGTTATGAAAATAGCTCTGCAGAACAGTAAGAATTCAAAGTTCTCTCTTCATTTCCAAAATTCTAGAAGTAACCTCATCCGATTTGCGCATGATGCTGAAGAGCTGATTAAAGAGAAGAAAGTCTAAGTGATTATTGACATGGAGGCATGGAAGGAAGCGACTTTAGTGGCAGACATTGGAACTCGATCCTCAAGTCCTATTTCTCTCTTTTGCAGCTGCTATTACATCCCACTTGGTGAGACTTCAATAGTCTTTGTTGGTGCAAATGGACAAATAAATTACATTGTAGTTATCATGCAATCCTTCAAATGGCAAAGTGTTATAGATGCCTACGAAGAAGACATTCATGGTGGTGATTCTGGGAAGTCAACCCTTTTATCGAAGGCCGTTAAAAATGTTGGCTTGGATATAGATGATTATCTGGTCCTTCCACCATTTTCTTATCTATCTAATCCTGATCAAAAAATAGTCTTTAATAAAGAGCTTTCAAAGTTAGAAAACAACACAAAATCTAGGGTATTAGTCATCACCATCGCTGACAAATCTTTTGTTCAAAAAAACAAAGGAGAGGGGATTATGTGAAAAGA